TCAAGGTCAACCCAATAATAGCTGCTGATAGTACTATTGCTATTGCCGCACTTACAACAATCCTTTTGATTGATTTCATCTCACCGGTTTTCTTTGGCAGGTCAGAAGCTGCGAGCCTCAGGTAAAGAGTACCAGCCCTATTGTCACCTTCAGAAAGACTTTGAAGATTTCGAATGTCTCTGCTCCAAATTGAACACTCACTCTCATAAGCATAAGCAGTACATGAGCAATCCTTCAAACAAGCTAATTCACGTTCTTCAGCACCTTTTCCTCCCAGCTGCTGTTCTGAGTCTGCGGGTAGACGCACATTGGGTATTGGCAAAAACCCATCTTTTTCTCCGGAAGTCGAGTCCTTGTAACTGCACTCCAACTGGGTTTTCCTCTTGCACCCTGAATTCCATCCATCAAGCTCCCAATCTCTAACAGAAGTCGGCGTAAAACCATGTGGACAGGTGCAAGGGGGTTTCCTCGATTGATCACAAATACCGTAGGCTCCACAAGCAGAATACACGTCACAAGGAGAAGCTGGCATCACAAAAAACAGCTCCCAACCCGTAGCTTCACCAAACCACACCCACTGCTGAACTTGACCAGAAGAGTGTTGGAAAATGTGTAGATCAAACTCACCTCCGGCGGCGGAGGAGCTCCGACGAGCTCCAGGATGGCGGCGGCGAGGTCCAGGACGACAGGCGGCGAGGTCCAGGCGACAGGACGAGCTCGAAGCCTCGAGCTCTGCGTTCGTTCGAGCTCTGCGTCGATGGTGAACTCTGCGTTTGGCGAAGGCGAGCCCTGCGTCACAGCGATGCCCACCTTTGCGTTCGCCTCTTCCCCCTAGCTCTGCGTTCGCCTCCTAGCTCTGCGTTCGCCTCCTAGCTCTGCGTTTGTTTTTGGCGAACCCGACCTTTGCGTCAGGGTTGTTCGCTGGCGACAGGCTGTCGCCAGCTCTTCATCTCCGCCTATTTAAACCCCCCATCAAGCTAGGGTTTCGGCTGCTGAGCCTTCCCCCTCTCCGTTTTTTCTTCCCAGGCGGCGGCGGAATACCCCCAAAAACGCAGCTGCGTTTCCAACTTAAATCACAGCAGTGATTTCAATCTCATCTCCAGCTCTCAAACTGTTTGAGGGGAGATTAAGAAAAAGGAATTTAAGAAGAGAGAGAGAAGGGGGAATTAAATAGGGGTTTTATATTGTGGGGTTATTCATTTATTCTCAAGTTGATAATTGATAGGGTTCATACCCTTTAATCATTAACACTGTAGCTACAGTGTTTATCTGAGAAATCTCAGTTTTGAGATACGCTCCTAAATTTGTAATTTCTTGTTTGATTAATAAGAAATTATCTGTGTGGCTCCCGAGGACGTAGGCAGTTGCCGAACCTCGTTAAATCTTGGTGTACTTTTCTATACTGCGTTTCCGTTGCATTAGGGGTTTAGGCGTTAAATTCCCAACAAAGAGTGCATCACGCTTCGTGCCAAATATCGCTCATCGGTGAGATTCTCAGTGAAACACCTGCGCTTATCATCATCAACAAACTTAAACTTGTGAAGATGGCCGTACTCCCTCATTGCAGGGAGCAGGCCCAAGGATTCCCCATTCCAGATGCCACTAGCCCAATAACTCTTCGAATTGTTCCATAAGAAAATAAACTGGTGGAGGCCGCTGGGGTCTATGGTTTCCATAAAAGGCCCTGGAGCTGGGTCTTCAGTGTTTTTCCATGGAGTAAGAGTTTGGTACTCGCCGGTGACTTTGTTCATTCCGATCCATCCATGAGGTACCCAGGTGTCAGTTGTGTGATCGAAGCTTTGCCAGAGCATAGCAGATGAGTTTGTTTGATCTCTCAGAACAAAATTCCCAGTATCAAGAAGTATTGCGACGTTAATGTTGGTGGGTGATGATAGATATGAACTTGAGTTGGATGACCAAACTGGGAGTTTGGAGTTGTAGAGGATCAGATTGCCGCTCTTGGTTAGCTTCAGCCTGGAAGTTGTCGGGTCGGGTACTGGAGCTGCCCTGTTTGCTGACCAGATGATTACTTCGGGCGATCTTTTGTACCAGATGCCGATGTAGTAGCTGTTGGATTTGCCCGGGGGTGAAGAAACCAAGTTCAAAGACGCCTCCTTTGGAGACTACGGTTTGGTTTCCAGATACGGATTGGCCTTGGGAGATCGTATCGGTTGCCAAAGTGAGAACTACATTAAGTGAGAGGAGAAGAAGAAAATGGTGAACCGGGAAGAAATAGGGGGATTTTGAGAACATTTTGCAATCTCTGCATAATGTTAGGGGCCATATGGGGACGTGTTTACATAGTACTGCTTCTTCATCCGTTGAATCCTACATCCTTTGGTATCATCAAGACTCCGTCTCACTCAGCATCAATGTGATCTACTAACCATCAGCTAACCAACATCCATCTGTAATTAATTTTGACCACATTATTAGCTACACATCGATCACATCAGGCTTCAATACAATTTATTGAGAAGACCAACAGTTTGAGGCTTGGATTTATGTATTAGTTCTTAGACCAAGCAAGGTTAGAGCATCTCCAACAGCTTCTCCATCTTCTTGAAATACTCAAATTTGGAGAATATAGAGCTTTTTTTTTGTTCAACAGATTCCCCATCTCATTCCCCAAAATAGGGAAGGAAGAGAAAAAATAGGGAGCATTCTCCAAATCTGCAGCATTCTCCAAATTTTTGGGGAGAGCTTTATTATTGTAATAAATGCGATTTTTCAAAATGGGGAAGATGTTGGAGTTGGAGCAAAAATAATTTGGAGAATATGACTTTTGTTTCTCCATTTTGGAGAAAATTTTGGGGAAGCTGTTGGAGATGCTCTTAGGGGCTAACTCCTGAAACATGGTAATTAATTTCATTGCACATTGACAGAGTCCTTCTATTAGCGTTTTGAATCCATCAGTGTACAGCATATCATGTACATATTTCTTTATAGGCACACATTGCTCTTGTTGGTCTTGTAGAGGAGAGGCAATTTTACCTTCAATGAATAGTCACACATTGCCTAGTGAGATGAATAGTTGAAGGTTTAAATGGCTTGTCCTCCCTATGGGCTTTGAGGATCCTAAGAAGGGGTGTTTTGGGCTTTCATTTGTTTTGGCCTTAGCTAACACACACATGCGCGCGCGCATGCCTTGCGCGCCGCACCACACGTGTTTTGGTTTTTCCAAATTTTATTTTACACAATTTTCTCATTTCTTTTACTCGTCATGTAACATGCATAACGGCTGCGAAAATTATGAGGAACATAAGGAATCCAGCTACGGCTCTTAGGGTTTTCGAACCCTATAAATTCAGAGGCAACCTAGCTCGGAAGGCACAACAACGAAAAGCAATTCTCTACTCCTTCTCTCTACCCTGAAAAAAAAACTCTCCGAATATTATTTTTATATTTTGGGCAACTTCTTCGTCTGAGCAGAAGCTCTGCACTCTCAGCGGAGTTCAGAGGTCAGCTGATTCTAGGGGTTTTTACCGCTAGGGGAGAGGGGATCATCTGCATCAGGGCGATAGACGGGTCTTCAGTCTTCTAGGATAGTGTTTGCATGACTGTGTTTGAGTCAAAAGTCATTGTTTTCATTGTCATCGAATCTATTACAACTTTAGTCATTACAATAAACTCAAATAAATAGAAAAGTCGATCTTTTTATAAGATCGACTTGTACAATAAAAATAAAGATTAAAATTATAACTCTTGTCAAACAGCACAACAGAAGTTTATCACCCGCTGCTTGCGTGGGAACTTTGCCTGTGTCGGGGATGTTAATATCCGTGGACCGTCACGGATCAGATCCGGTTAACAGATTAAGTTGATCAAAGCTCTTACTTCACGAAGGAAGTAATCGCTGTAGCGATGATCCCGACCAAGCGAGATCACGGCTCTTCTCGAGATTAATACTAAGCTTAAATCCGGAGGAATATGTGACGTGTCTCAGATCTCTCGAACTCCACTCTTTATGCACAGGAGATCGCTAAGATCTGCTAACCCTTGCTGTAAATTCGTGGCTCCGCTCTCCAATTCGGCAGCGTTTCGCCCTCTTGATCCCCTCCCGTGAAATGAGCCCCTAGGCCTGTATTTATAAGCTTCGGTTGGGGTTTTTTTGGATAAGAATGAGTAATTTGGTCTTATCTTCAATTAATAACAGCCTAACCATGTTTGTGGATAATATCAAGTCAATTGGGAACCCTTGGAACAAATAAATCCTGAGAAAACCGTTTAAAATAGTTGAAAACGCGTTTGGGGGTCGAATCTGCGCGACGGTCACTGGTGACCTGCGCGAGCGCGGGTCACTCACGGGTGACCCGCGCCACCGCGGGTCACCATTGGGTGACCCGCGTGAGTGCGGTTTCCGAGGCTCTTTCGCTCTCCTTTCGCCCTTCGGTGTTTCCCGACTTTCTCGGACCTGTATTTTTCACCGTTCTGCGTATTTGGTCGACTCGTTGACTTGTACGCTTCGCTAACTACTTCATGCACTCGTTAGCTTCTTTACGACACTTGGAATTGACCGACAAGTGCGTCAGGTACTTTGGATCTAACCGACAAGCGTGTCAGGAACTTTGGATCTGACCGACAAGCGTGTCGGGCACTTTGGATCTGACCGACAAGCGCGTCGGGCACTTTGGGTTGACTAACGTGCGCGAGTTGACCGACGCACGCGGCTGACCGATAGGTATGACGGCCAATTGGAGGTGGCCGGTGAGCGCACGAGACACAGTTAGTTCGCCATTCTGATTCATGCACTTGTCGACATCAGAGAATCCTCTTAGACTCGGATAACGACGTTCGTCAACTTCTCTCCGTCTCGAGCTGTGTGCGGACACCTATATGCATTTTTAGACGCCTACAAACTGCTCCTGATCAGGCCAGATTTTCTTGTTATTTTAATTTCGGATTTTCTTGCATGCTATAACCTTTTATTTGATTTTTATCTAACATCTCTCTTGTTGAAAAGTAGGAATAAGCATATGGAATGATCGAACCAACCAAATTATTCTTATTGTTATAATTTCCACAAATTAATTGGCGTACATCATACAAGCCCTCAAAGAGCGGAAGAAATGTCTTACTACTAAAGTACCAAAGAAATCGACAAATTAAGGATGATGACGATCCTAAGCGATAAGCGACCACCAGAACAAGGAGATGGCAGCTAAGCCTGACAATCCGAACCAGTTTGTGCTGTGCTCAGCATTGCTGTTATCCCCAGGAGTAGCTACAAATAACACCCAAAAATTATGAATCAAACATTAGGAATCATCATTAGTGAATTGCGTATACAAAATATGTTCTATGTTCATTTGATTTACAAATCACTTTTTGTTATACAAATTCATAAAGGCTAGTTGGACAAAATATTAGAAACATACACATTTGATATGACTTTGTTAGCTGTACTCAATGATCTGCTAAGTGGATTTAGTGACAGATTGTAACTATCAAAATCCCCTAACCACTACAGCCGAAACCTAGATTTACACAGCTATGTCAATTTTAAAAAAATCTGTTTTAAATTCGTGGCTGGTGAGATTTAACTTGAGTTGCTATGATACGGTGTTAAAGTCCATGTCCATTATACCAAAACTCCGAAGTTGTGGTGAGGATGGTGAGAGTTGAATGTTATATTTTTATATTCTAACAATAACAAATCAAAATGAAGCATTTTATGATTGGAAATTAGCTCCATATTTATTTTTGGAATGTATTTTCAGTGAACTGGGTAGTTCAGTAATGATGTAGAACGCATAATGAATAAATTCATGAAGAAGTGGGACATTCACGGGTCAAATACGAATACATATGAATTATTGACTTGCCCTCATAAAAAACCATATCTCTCAATCTGAAAGGTTGGATTCTGACATAAATTATATTAGTATCACCATTTTTTTAGCTAAAACCCAAAAATAATTTTATTTTTAGTAATAAAATTAGAGTCTATTTAGATTAGAAAACAAATTTAATTTTGATTTATGTAGGACTGATTTATTTCCTCCGTTATAAAGAGTCTTTTTTAGGGTAAGATTTGATACTTTCAATTTCTTTGTAATTCCAGTCTTGTTAGGAGTCTATTTTATTTTTCTATTTAGGGCCTGTTCGGTTTGCTAAAAAAATTGAGAAAACACCCGTCACCTCACATTTCAAGAAATCCCCCATGTGCCACATAGGTTTTTGGTTTCAAGGGTTTTCCATTTCTTCAGTTCGGTTCGTTTTGAAATTTAGAGAAATGAAACGCCACGTAGGATGCCACATCACATTTTTAAGAAATATGTTTTCACAACAAAAACCTCTGAAAACACTTGGAAATGTCAATTCAATGAATTTTTAATATTTAAAAGCACTGTTGGAACAATGAATGAGAATTAAACAGATTATTTAAATGTTTCCATTTCTCTTTCCTTTTTTTTTGTTCAAACGAACACAAGAAATAGAAAACACATGCACTGTTACTATTGCGGCTTTTTTTGTCTCTTTATGTGACTTGGCGGTTTCAAGGGGTGATTTCTTTGCGAAACGAACACAAAAAATGAAATGTGGGAAAACTCTTGAAATGTCATGATATCAAATAAAATGTGACATTTCCATTTCTTGTTTTTTTCGGAAAACAACCGAACAAGCCCTTAATAAGATGTATGTAACCCTAGAAAGATTAACTAGACCACTCTTATCAATAAATTTCTGTTATTATATTTTCTTCATAGATTCAAAGTTCTTTGTGGATTCGAAGATTGTTCTTTGTGGATTCAAAGAGCACTCCTTCCTCGCTGCGTTAAATTAGCTACAAAATGGTAGATGACTTGCCAATATACGACAAAAGGACGAATGAATTAAGATAGGCTTAATATTTCTGCAACGGGTGGTGCTACAAGGACCCAAAAACATGGGACCCTACATGGGACATGTGAGGTGTTAACGCCCTATCCCATGATGCACTGTGCATCATGGGACAGTGCGCCGATACCTCACATGTCTTATGTAGGGTCCCATGTTTTTGGGTGCCTAAGACATTTTTTCTATTCATTATTTGTGTGC